AGGGATGCAGAAGAGGAAACCTGCAGAAGCATGATAGTGCAGGCAGCGCAAAATGACACGTGAATGAAAGCAGTCCCTCCAGAAGGTCCAGGGGAGCAAGGAGGAAGGAGCAACTCCCAGACTGAGACTTCTTGGGAGTGGGAGTGTACCAAGATCCTGGGGAGACAAGTCACTGAGGATGTACACATTAGCAAAGGGAGGCTCCAGCTGGATACCGTGACCTCCTCTCCGTGTCCTGGCATGGAGGCGGGAGGGGCAGCTCCTCCCGGAAGCCCCTGCTATTCCATAGCCTTTTGTGAGTCCTTTTAGAGAGCAGTTGCTCCATTCATCCATCCATCCACCCATCCATTAATACTCTGTTCATCCATCCATGCATCTATGTATGCATACACCTGTCTATGCATCTCACCCATCCATTTATCCATCCGTCACCATCCTGTCTATCACCCACCCATCGATTTATCTACCCATCCACCCATTTCTTCTGTTAACAAGGGCATACGATGTGCCTAACTCAGTTTTGCAAGGGCTGCTAAGATGAACAAAACACAGAGCCTGCGTCCTCAGGAAGCTAGAAGCACAGGAGGATAACAGGTAATCACCCACGGACAGCCAGTGTGTGCGGTTAATGAAAGCCCCGCCTAGAAGGTGCTTCATAAGGCAAGACAGCTTTGCCAGGGACAATGAGGAGAGTTTCATGGAGGAAGGAGACGTTGAGATGGGTTTCAACCAGGGGAGATTGGCAAGAGGCACAGTCCAGGGTGTGAATAAAGATATAATGGTGGGAAGCACACAGCTCTCATGGAAAACAGAGGTACTGGGGAATGAAAAGGTGCAGGAAGATGGGACTCTGGGATGATGTGTGGGAGTCAGATCATGAGGTGCCTCTGGAAAACAAGGATACAACATTTGAGCTTTAATGAGAAAAGCTGAGGGAGAGGTGAGGGGCAGAGAACGTTTGAGCTGTAAATGTCCTCCTCGATGCCTATAACATTGTTTTATTTGCTGCCTGATCATGACCTTTGCTGGTTCTGTTGCCTTGTGGAATTCCCCACTGGACCATCAGCTACTTAGGGGTAGTGCCTTTGACTTAGCTCTGTAGCCCCTGCAAGCTTGGCCTGGAGCAGGCTCTCAGCAAATGCTGGCAGGGGAGGGAACAGATGATAAAACTGTTCCACAGGAACGCTGGCCCAGCAATTCGGTGTCAGACATATAGGAAGAAGAGTAGCTGCTTCTTGGCGGGACCCCCCTTCCCCATGCTTTCAGGAGAAATGACCCTGCTTTCTCTGCTGGGGTCTTTCCAGGAGCTCTCCCAATAGACACCACAAGGTGGCGCTGTTCCAACTGTAGCTCTGAGTTTGCCATGGTCCTTAAGTTTTGCAGCTGGTGAAGTGCCCCTCCAAGTACTGTCCTGTATGGTAGACATTTCCTTCCAGTAAGTCCTGGGACAGAATAAAGAGCCTGCGTGCACCTGTGGTAGAGAAGAGCTGGCAGACCCCTAACCCCAATGCAAGTACTACATCTATCCATCCATTTATTTGACAGTATCTAGTATGTGCGAGGTACAATGCTAGTCTCTTGGAAAAACAGCAGTGACCAAAACACAGTCTCTGCCCTCAAGGAGCTCACCCTCTGGTCCTGATCAAATCTTTCTCCTCCTCCTCCTCCTCCTCCTCCTCCTCCTCCTCCTCCTCCTCCTCCTCCTCCTTTTTCCTCTTCTTCTTCTTCTTCTTCTTCTTCTTCTTCTTCTTCTTCTTCTTCTTCTTTTTCTTTCTCGCTCTCTCTGCTCTCTCTCTCTCTCTTTCTCTCTCTCTCTCTCTCTCCCTTTCCCTCTCCACCCCCCATACCTGTTCCCAAGGACCATTCCCCTTGACCTAGGAAGCCATCTCCATGTGAAATCTACTCTTTGGCACTGCTCTTCCCTCCAAATCCACATTTTCCCCTAAGATTGCTGCATGACCACATTAATGTGACCCTGAATGCTCCTTACTTAAACAGCTTTCCTTGCCCTTCCCATAAGCTCCCTGATGAGCCCTTTGCTATTCTTTCTTCCAAACTCCCCTGTCACACTCACAGCCATTTTGCCACTGTGGTAGCTGTAGGGACCTGACCAGAGTACACCTTGCCTGGGTTGGATCTCCCAATACCCTAGAGCTCTGGGGGCTGGAGGGACATGAAGATGGACCCAGAGAAGGGCCTTGTGAGACCCCGGCCCAGACCACCAGCCCAGAGAGCTGGGGAGTCCAGAAAACCAAAGACTTCAGAAACATGGCCCTCTGGGGCCTGAGAGCTCTGCCAGCCAAACCTGTTCCCTGACAGTCTGCCTTCTTTTCTCACCTGTTTGGGCTGGCAAATCTCTCCCTAGCTGCAGCCCCATAATGGTGGCTGTGGGAGAACTGGTTGGGAGGTGAAGCATTGTGGGACATTGTCCACTTTCCCAACATGCTTCAGGGCCCAACTTAGCCCTCGATGGGTTTGATAGAGGAGGGAGGGTTGGTGCTGAGAGTGGGAGCCAGGCCCATCGAGGTCCCGGGAGTGAATGCGGTATTGTTGGCCAGGCCAGAGTCACAGATAATTACCTCAATTAGTGACAATGGGAGAGTAATAAATACAGGCTTAGTGTCTCCTACCCCACCAGGGCTCCCAAGATTAATCCAGGCTGACGGGCGGGCCCTGAAAGGCGTGATGGACAATTCATTAAACTCCCCAAATGCCGCACAACCTGGGCGTGAAGGCTGAGTTAGCCCCCTGGGGGCCGCGCCTTTGTCCCGATTGTGTGTCTCCGCCACAGCAGAGCCGGGCAGCCCCCAGAGAGCCGGGAGGTGAGTGGGGCTCCCCCGGCCCGTCCAGGCGGCGGGGGGATTAGGTCTTGGACCAGCCCCGGTTGCCCTGGCACAGCAGCCCGGCCGGGCAGGAATGTCCGTGGGGGGGAGCAGGCGGAGCGGAGGGGCGGGGCCGACAAGGTGGGGTAAGGGGGGCACACAAAACCGGGGGCAGGAGGAGTTAATTAGACGCCAGCCAAGGAGGGCGAGGGGCCACAATGGGGGCCTCACTTCCGAGGATTAATAGGGAAGAGGGAGAGGGAGGGATTCATCTTTGGGGAAGGAGAGCCGGGAGCTTCTCAGGGTGGCACTGCCCCCTCTTGCCCAGCTTCGCGCCAACGTGGCTGGGAGGCAGAATGCTCAGGTAGCCTGGGCAGGTGCCCTCCGGCTTCCCACTAAGTGGCCCTTTCCTCCTAGAGCGGCACTTACACAGGGAAGACGGTTTGGCAGGAGGAAAGGGACCCTCTCGAGCATCAGGGAAACAGTGGAAGCAGGAATGCTCAGGGGCCCTGTTCTGTCCCCCTCCCCATCCCACCCCTGATCCTGAGGTAGAACCAGGATCCTGAAGCTTTCCCCTTCCTGACGAAGTGGCCAGGTTAAAGCCAAGGCATCCGTACTGGGGGCAGGAGCTGGCGTGAACACACGGGCGTGGAGGCTGCTGTGTGCATGCACACGCATGTGCGCACACTTGTGCATGCAGGTGTGCTTGTGCACAGGGCTGGCCTCCCGCCTGACCTCTGTAAATGCCTGTGGAATGAATGAATGGACTTGGGATTTGCTGAGGATGAATGGGTGTGAGGAAGAGACATGGTGCCGGGCTGCACAAGGACACAAAGTGAGTGGCCTTAAGGCCCTTTCATTGCAGGAAGGATGGGGACCCCACCTCTGAGCAGATGAGCCAATGTCCAGGAAAAAGCAAGTGGCAGTGGTTCCTGCCCTTTAAAAAGAGCAAAAAAAAAAAAAAAAAAAAAAAAAAAAGTTCAGTAGCCTCTGGAAGCCCCACTTCCTCCTGGGCCCCAGGGAGCAGGGCAGCCCTGGCTCCTCCTCCTCGGGAGCCACCCCACCCTATCCCATCCCAGGGGATGACAAGGGAGCGAGTTGGCGGCAGTTCCCTGGGCATATTTATAACCTGCTGCTCGCTCACCAGCGTCTGCTTTTAGCCCAGACGGGGGAGGGGGCAGAGGGGTGGTCTGTCTCATGCTGGGCGCCCCGGCTGGGTGTGGAAAGAGTGAGTAAGGGTGAGTGGTGGGCAGCTCTGCATGGATATTCCTGCTCACACCACAGCCAAACAGCTTATTTTCTCCTCATTTTGTTATTTTTCTCCCTCTGGCTTGGAGAGGAGGACTGACCCAGCCGGGGGGTGGGGGGAGATGTGCTAGACCCGGGGGTATTTGCAGCCCCACTGACAGGGTTTTTCCAGGGTGCGTGTGGCAGGGTGTGCGTGGTGCCAGCCTGCTGACCCCCTGGGGACTGTGCCTGCCTGCCATCTCAGTCCTCTCAGGTTTTCCTCTCCCCCTCTCCCCGGATATTTCAAGACCTGCACCTCCCTCGCTTGCTGAGGCCAACCATGTGTCAGGGTCCCTGGCAGCCTCAGATTCCCCTGGTGTGTGGCCTCTGGCACCTGAAGATCAGAGGTGGGTGGGAGGATCGCCTGCGTGGATGGGGCAGGGCTGAGGCATCAGGCCATTCCCCATAGGACTCTCCTCTGCATCCCCCCAACCCCGCCCCGCCCCAACCTGAGCTGCTCTGGGCCCTGAGACTGCAGCGAGGCCCCTCACCAGGCACAGCTGGTTTTCTCCCCAGGATTCGCCTGCTTGGGTTTTGCCTGAGGATGGCATAGATGCTCATAGTCACAAAATAATTACTTCAGACGATATAGTGCTTTGCAGATCTTATAGCCCTTTTGTTTGCTTTCCCCCTTTATTGGTGTATGCCCCCCTGAGAACTAGTCCTCACTCTGCACTTGCCTACCTCCTCTTCAAAGTCCCCACTCCTGCGAAGGAGGGGCTTCCATGCTGAGGCCCTGAGTGCAGGAGTCTGTCCTTAAACCTCACACACGTGCTGAGGGTATTGAAATTCCCCAGCCTCCATTGTACTCCCCCCTGCCACACTACCTATGTGGTATGTCGGTGTGCTTGACTCCCCAGCTGGACTGTGAACTTTCCAAGCAGGCACTGTGGCTGCATCCCCAGCACTGGGCACATGCCTGGCACAGAAGAGGTGTCAGCAAGCGTCCAAATGACCGGAGCTTTCATGCACATGATTTCCTCTGAACCTCATCCCCTTCCTACAGAAGTCTAAGTGCCCATAACCACCCCTATTTAATAGCTAAGGCAACCAAGACTGGGAAGAAAACCAAAAAGATCGGTTGAAAAGCTAGTTCAGAACAGGATTCATGGCTTTCTCTTGCTCTTCTTCAGCTCCTGTGTGTCCACTCAGCCCAAAGCCGTCCAGCATCTGGGCCCAAAGCAGTCATTGATCTAGGTCTCGGAGTCAGGAGTCAGGTGAGGGTGGTGGGGGCCAGCTGCCAACCCTCCTGTTCCCCACCCTGCTGCTTCTCCCCGACGCTGGCATTGTCCCTCAGGGGCCTGAGCCCCCCTGGGCCTCGGCCTCGGGCAGCCCATTAACTTCTAGCTTTAGAAGCTGAGGGATCTAATAGCTTCTCTGCAGGGGGTTCTTTACTGGAAATCCAAGGCTTGTCAGGTGCCTCCTACCCCAGATCAATAATATTCCTCCCCCGACTGCCCACAGAGCTGAGCTGGTGCTAGCTTGGCAGATGAAGGGAAAGGGAAAGGGGTGGCATTGCAGGATTGAGCAGCTCCTGGCTCCACTCCTCTCCCCCTACACATCCCAAAGGCTAACAGGGTCAGAGTTCACACACCCAGGGAGAGGTGGGAGGCACCAACCACAGCAAAAGAGTCCCGGGGAGAGGGGAAATTCTCCATTTGGCTGTGGTGAGATGTTGCCCTTGGGGGGTGGGGGAGTGGAGAGCCTGCCTTTCGAGTCCCCCCCTGGGGGGAAGTGTTAGGATTAGGGACAGGCATTAGAGTTTAGGAAGGGGTTATTGTTTGAAGTTAGGGTTAAGGCTAAGGTTACACTTAGGCCTAGGCATAGGGAGAGGATTAGAGTTAGAGACAGGTTTAGGGCTGCGGGCAGGATTAGTACTTCCGCCAGCCAACTCGTGAATGCGCGCACAGAGGTGTCAGTGTCGTTAGCTCGGACTCCTCAATGGGCTCTTTATGGGAATGGTTAGCTTCACGGTTTGGTTATGGCCACACTTGGGTTTCCTTTTGGTTACGGTGTTGCAAGTCCTCACTGCCACTGCCTGACCACAGCTGGAGCAGACAGGCTCCGGGGACCAGCCACTCCACACCAGAGGCAGCAGCGCCCTTCCTTGGGTATCTCTGGTTTCTTTTCAGAACGCAGTCCTGGCTATCTCGCAGTTGTAGCTATTCTCACACCGACTGTTCCAGCCAGGAAAGGCAGGCTCTGAGTTTGTTTCATTCCCATTCCGCAAGGGAAGAAACTGAGGCCTCACGCACTTGTCCAATATCACACATCCAACCTCACACATCCAACCTCACACAGCCAATAACATCACACTGCCAGTTGGTGTTTGAATAAGAAAAAGAAACGTGCAGGACCTTTGGGCTTCTGACCAGGTTCTTCTGGAGACCTGGATCCCCAGTGGCCTCATTAGGGTCAACCAAGGGTCAGGGTCTCAGGGTCCGTTTGCAGGGCATGACAACCAGTCCTCCAACAACCTATCCTATTTGTTTCAGAGAGGTAAACAATGGTGTGTTCTGGTTTCAAGGAAAAGCTACCAAGTCATTGATAAAAATAGAGATTTTTATTCTGCAGAGGAAGATAGATACTGTATCGGTGGGGGCGAGGAGCCACTAATAGCTACAGTGGAAGGAAATGCTGATTCCAGTTAGGCAAAGGCATCTTTGAAAAATTGGGGAGAGGAGAAGAGGGATCAGAAAAGGCTGAAGGGCAATAGAAGAGAAGAGTGGAGAGGGGTTTGGTTGGGGGTGGAAGTGGTCTCTGCAAACCAGGCTGGAACCCAGCACAATAAATAGTTTTATTTACAACAACCAAACGCGTGGCTTTGTATCCACGTTTCAGTGCAAATTATTTACACACTGATGAGGAGGCAGGACAGGAAAGTGTAGGAGGTGGCTGAGGGAGGCATGGCTCACAGCTGTTCAATGGCTCCATCACTGGGGCTGGAAGAATGGGGGTGTTTCTGCTGGGTCCCCCAACTTCATTTTCCATATCACCACAGCTGCAGCTGCTCTTTCACCCGGCCCCTCCTGCTTCAGCGGTAGGTGGGGAGGAGAAAGGCCCTGATGCCCATGTGTGTGTTCAGGGTCTGCACCCTTGGCAGGGGCGGGTAGGCATTGGGAGAAAACGGAGTTCGAGTGGGAGGGAGAGAGGCAGGGAGGTCGATAGCGGCGGAGTGGTATCTGGAGCCGACTCGCCATGGGGGAGGGGACGAATCCTTCTCTCACCTCCTAGCCAAGCAGGGTTGGGGGTGGGGGGCAGTGCAATGGGGTCTCCCGCGGAGAGGGAGGGAGGTAGGTGAAGGCAGGTCCATCAGGATGGCAAGAAGGTTCCTACCGCCCCAGGCAAGTGGTTTCAGCAGTCCCCAGGTAGGAGGAGGATGCGTAAGAATCGCGGGGATGTGGATGGGCAGACGGGGTGAGTGTGTTATCAGAGTGTTAGGTGCCAGAGAATTGCGGGGGGAGGAGGAGGAGGGGCTTGAGGAGCATGCTCTCGCGGGCGAGTCCAGGCAGCGCGTCACAGACACTCGTGCAGGACGCGCGTGTGCGTGCAGTTGCGGCAGCTGACGTGGCAGCACCAGTGGAAGGTGCAGTTGCAGCGCTCCGTGACGCGCTGCGTGCGGGTGCGGTGGCCGCGGCCGCAGCAGAGCAGCTCGCAGCCGTCCAGCGCGGGCGATGAGCTGTTGCAGGCGCGCCCCGCGGTGCCGGCCGTGCCCAGGCGCCCGCTGTACGTGCAGAAGTTGGGCGATTTCTCGAAGTAGACGAGGTCGTGGGGCGAGGGCGGCTTGTGCGCGGGGTCCTCGGGCTCGAGGCGGAGCAGCTCGGCCCGCGAGGCGCGGTTGCTGCCGCGGTTGCCGTAGAGGACGCGCGAGGCGCCGTCGAAGCGGTCGCGCAGCACGTCGCCCACGGCGCGCAGCGTGGGCAGCCGCATCCAGCACGTGCGCACCGTGCACGAGCCCGACATGCCGTGGCACTTGCACTCCTGGCGCATCTCGGAGAACACGGTCTGGGGGGAAAGGGAAAGGCTGTCCCAGGGCGCCGGGGGAGCCAGAGCCGCCCACCCCATAACGGCCTCCGCGCCCAGCGGAAGGGAGGCAGGAGACGCCCCCCAGAGATTCGGGTGTCACGCCGTCTTGGCCTTTCAGCCTTATTTTTTGAATCTGGACAACAGAGGGGGCAGCAGGCAATAATTTCTATGGGTCACATGACCTCTAGCCTCTTTGGCTATCCCTGTCCTCGGCCCCAGGCATCCCTCTGCCTCCTGCCTCTTACCCCTTCCATCCTCAGGCTTCCTCCAAGCCCCCCTCCCCCCCGCTCTGTCAGGATGCGCTCCCTGGTCCTCGCCCCTGAGTCCTGGCCTTGTCACCAAGCGCGGACCCCTGCCCTCAGCTCACCGTGCGGCCCGCCTCGTTGTTGTGAAGGTTCATGAGGAAGCGCAGGTCCCGCCCCTTCTCCCCGGAATCCACAAACTCGCGGCCGAAGAGGCGGCCGAAGTCGATGTTGTCGCTGCAGCCACCCCAGTGCCAGTCGGGGCCGCCGGGGCCGCGCCGCCGGTAGTCGCACGTGCAGGACTCTATGGAGCCCTCGGAGCAGGAGCGAGCCACCGAGTGGGTCACGCCGGCGGAGGTGATGGCGAAGATAAACGCTGTTTCCCGACAGCCTGTGGGGGAGGGATCAGGGATCGGGGGTCAGCGAAGGGCCCCGCGGTGCGCGGCCAGCACCCTCGGTGGAGGGCTTGGGACCCCGGAGTCCTGCGCCCCGGAGTCCAGGCGGTGGGCTGTGTGGGGGAGCTGGTCTCGTAGGGAAAGCGCGTGAGGGGGCCCGCACCCACGTCCATAGTTGCAATCACGCGTTAGAGACTCAGCGCATTTTGGCTCCTCAGTGGAAGTGGGGCAACCCCAGAAAGAAAGAAGAAAAAAAAGGGGGAGCGGAAGAACTGCACCCCAAGACCTCTCTGCAGCCCAAACTCGGCCCACGTCTGCGAAGCAAGTCTTGCTGTGCTGGAGGCAAGACACAACCCCACAGAGAGCAGAGTCTAGAGGCGGGAGGAGGGGAAGCGACCCTGGCCAGCGCCCGGCGGCCAGCGGCCACAATTCCGAATCCCCTTTTCCGAGGCAGCGGCTCAGAAAAGTTAAGCTTCGTGTCGGAGGTGCAGGGCTTGAAAGCGCCTGGCAGGCTGAGTTTGGTCCAGAGCTGGCGCTGAGCGTAAAGCTCCTGGCCAGCTGGTTGTGTGACCCTACGGGAACCCGGGACACCTTCCCTGCCTTCGCCCACCCATGCCCTGTGGGTGACCCCGAGTTCCCCTGGTCCTGGAGGCGTCGCCTTCCGGGGGGTACCCACCTCGGTTGACGATCTTGCCGAAGAGGTGGGGCCCCGAGGCTGTGGGGCAGTTCCAGCGGCGGTTCCGGAACTGCCACTTGCACTCGCGCACGGCGCTCTGCAGCCCCCCACTCACGCTGTGCAGGATCCCCGGGTTCTGGCGGATCAGCCGCCGCTGCTTGCGGCTCAGCAGCTGCAGGCTGGGCTCCAGCACCAGCTGCAGGCTCTTGGAGTCGGTCAGGAGGTTCGTGGAGGAGGCTACGTTCACGATGCCCCTGGAGAGACGCATGATGAGAGCTCAGGCTCTGGAAGGGGGACCTTTCCCAAACCAAAGAGGTCGTGCCCGCCCTGCTGTCTCTGGAGCTATTTGCCTGGAAAGAGTGGCTGGAGATCATCACAAGGTAATGATTCTACGCTCCTGGGCTCCACAGAGGGAAAGGACTGGTCGCCCAGACTTTTGTGAGACCACGCGTTCTGGGGGTGCTAGGGGCCCTGGGTGTGGAGACCGGACTGCACAGGGACAGCACAGGGAACCCGGAACATAGATGTCCACCTTGGCTCCCAGGGCATGGTCCGGACAGCCTGGCGAAGCCATCCTGGCCTGCAACCCATGCCCACCCAAGGCGTGATGTGCTCCGGAGTCCCACCCTCCTCTTGCTCCTTTCTAAGCACGCCTGGCCTTCTGCTTCCTGCAGCAGGGAGACCTGTGGGGCGGCCACCGCCGTGAGCCTGGCTCTGGGGCTCACGGAAGAAAGGCGGTGCTAGAAGGGAGGAGTGGGCTCGCATCTGGAGTATCGTGGGGCTGTGTGGCCGGACATTCACCCCACTTCCGCAGAGCTTGATCTCCTGGAGCAACTCCGCTCCAGAGCGCCCCTCGGCGTCTCGCAGGGAAGTCGGAGCGCAGGAGGAAGCCTGTCTGCGGACCGGTCCCAGAGCGTGGGAGCCGGACAGGGCTGGCCCTGGCTCTGCGCCCCAGACAAGTGGCGACCCCGGACCAGCGCACTTACCACCATCGGCCGCTGCTGTTGGCGGCCAGAGCGGCGGGCAGCGCGGCCAGCGCCAGCAGCAGCGCAGCGGAAACCCAGCCGGGCAGCAGCGCCCCGTGCCCCATGGCCTGCCCGGCCTGGCCCTCTCTGCGGTGCAGTTGGGGCGGCTCTGGCTGCTGCCCGCGACGGTGGGACGGGATGCGGCGGCGGCGGCGGCCGTGGAGCTCGCAGTCTGGCTCTAGCAGCCCCGGGGGCGGGCGGCGGGCAGCATGGCTCGCGGTCCCAGCTGGCGGGCCGAGGCAGCCGCGGCGGGGCGGGCGGCACCGCCTCTTATAGCTGCGGCACCGGCTGGAGTGACGAGAGGAGGCTGCTCCGCCGCCGGGCGCACTGTGGCACCAGGGCGCACCGGTCAGGGGCACGCAAAGACAATGGGCAGCGAGCGGGGCCTTGGCTCCCGCCCGTCTGAGCCCGGCGCTGAAGGGCTGGCCGTCGGGGCTCACCCCCGCCCCCCTGCCCGGTGGCTCCCGCCTCCGGGCTTGCACTGGCGGCCGACCCCTCCCCTTAGGGCGCCCTCCCACGCGCGCCCGCCCGCCTGCCTCTCTCTCTCCCGTTGGCGTCGGGAGCCCGTCGGGGCCCAGCGTCCACCAGGGGGCGCAGCGACAACGCGCTCTCTGGATTTTCCATGAGAATCCACCGGACCCAGCTGCTTTGCCGCCTGCCTGCCCCTGGGGCTGTCCCCTCGACGTCACCCCAGGCTTCTCGGGTGTCCCATCTCTCCCCCATCCTAAGGGGAGGAAGGAAAGCTGTGGTTCTGGGCAGCGACTCTGGGGAGATGCCTTCCCACCCAGGAACCCCCATGGCTGGGTAGGGAAGGAAAAGGGGGAGACTAGGGGTGGAGGTGGGGCTGTGGTCAGGGAAATCCCCGGTGGTGGGTTGGGGGGTGAGCTAACTAAACAAAGCCTGGCCATAAAGAGAAACCTGAAGAAGCCTGTGCTTATGGGCCGGAAGGTGCACACTAGTGGCTGTGTGTGTGTGTGTGTGTGTGTGTGTGTGTGTGTGAGAGAGAGAGAGAGAGAGAGAGAGAGAGAGAGAGAGAATGCAGATGAGAGTGCATTTGAGAATGTGCACGAATGTGTTCTGAGTGTACACAGTGTGTGTTTTCATGTACAGAAACTCCATGGTCTGTACATGGAGGAATGTTAGAAGCCTTTCTAAAGAATTTTGGAGTTTGACTCAGGTCAAAGGGGATGATCAAGTCATCTTGTCATAGCCACCCCCTGGGGCAGTGTGCCATCTTCTATGTGTCAGGAAGGAGGGGTGAATACTGTCAGGAGAGACCCAGTTAACTGAGGGATGGAGACTGTCTGGGACTGAGTGTGGAGGTGGGTGAGTGGGTGGATGAATGTGTGCATGGGGAGATTGAATATGCATATATGTGTCACTTTTGCCCTGTGTACCTTGTGTCATCCTATAGTGTGTCATCCTGTGGTATGTGTCAAGCAGTCTGTGCATGTCACTGGGGGATAAGGCTGAGCCAGCAACCAGGGTAGTGTCAAGATGAACCAGGCCTGGAGTGTCTGAGCCTGAGGACCAGCTCAGGAGGAAGGGCAATGGAATAGGTGTCAGGTGTATGTGTGCTGGGGGAGGACTGGGAAGAGAAGGGCCGCTGGCTAAAGTGAACCCAGAATAGGAAACCTGTGTTTCCATGTTTCGATTATTTTTGGATTTTTCTGCCAAGTTTCTGTCTTGCCCCCAAACTCTGATTCTTTCCGCTCTGACCAGGCTGGGAGACCCAGAGCACCTGCAACCATCTCCTTCCTCTGTTGTACACTTTTCTCTCCCCTCCCAGGGACTCCAATTCAGGTTCAAGACCACATTGGCCTATTGAAGAAGTGGCTGCTGTTCCCTAGACAAGGCCTGGGGGCACTCCCGGCCTAGTTATCATACCCCATCAGCACACTGCTGGCCCCTGGCAGGAGGGAGGATCCCCTCCTATTTTAGAGAGGAAAAATTAGATTAGGTAGTTGTCCAAGGTCCCCACAGCTGATAAATGAATAAATGACAGTGCCAGGCTGACACCCATACTATTTTGACTCAACGCCCAGGCCTTTTCCACCTGACCAGCTGCTTGTGACTGCGATTCCTGCCTCTCATTTGGAATCATTCTCTCTTTTTCTTGTCTCTTGCCTTTAGGATGCTTTCTCACTGAGTAATGTATCTAAAGAGTTCCAAGTCCTAGAAATGTCCAGGCTTCCCCTCCAAAGCAGGGAAATCACTCTAAGGAATAAATGCCTGATAAGTTTAATTGATCTTCCTGGGGATTTGCATTTTAAATGAGATGTGTGTGAACCTAAATGAAGCCCAAGGGAGGTTAGTTTTGGGGGGATTGTTCTTCCCAGGCCCTTGGCCCAGTACAGTGTCGCTGGCTCCTCTAAGGATTCAACCTGGAGGGACAATGTGTACTGGCCCCGCTTTCTCCGAGGGTCCAAAATCCAGTAGTCCCTGCAGAGGGCACCCAGCATGGATGGCTCAAGTAGATAGACAATGTACCATGGGCAGCTTTATCCTTTAGGAGTTCCTCCTTACTGGGGCCTGGGTCAAAGTCCTTTGGCCTGGTGGATTGAAAAAGGCCCATTGGAGGTGAAGGTGAGCCAACAGAAAGGGAAACCCTGTCTGTGACCACTGGTGACAAGCAGAGGTGGAGAGAGAGGAAAGAAGCCAGCATTCCACGCACCAGGAATAGGAGGGAAGAGCAGGAGGGCTCCAGGTCTGGGTCACATTATGTATGACCTGGCCCACGTTTCTCTTTGGATCAGATCATCACTCTGTCCATTGTTCGCTCTTTCTTTCCTGTATCATCAACTTGTCTCTCAACATAAAATAAATATGCTGTAATATCTCCCATCTAAAAAACCCCAAAACTTATTTGACTCCACACTGCCACCCAAGATTGCCTCATTTGTCTGTTTCCTTTTACAGAAAAACTCAAGAGGTTTACCTTAAACACTAACACCAATTTCTTTTCTTTATTCTCTCTTTCCACCCTAACCAGACCTTCGAACCCACTCTTCCTCCTATCGAAATCATCCCTGCCCTCCTTGTTGCTCTACAGTCAACTCTCAGGGTTCATCATGATTAACCTTTCAGGAGCCGCACCCAGAGTTGGACACTTCCTCCTTTTTGAAAAGTTCTGGAACACCGTCCCTACCTCCTGGGCTGCTCACCTTCTCAGTCTCCTTATCTGGTTCCACCTTGTGTACCAGTTTCTAAACTAAATTGGGACTGTACCCCAGTTCAATTGGGAGCTTCTTCTCAGTCTACACTCACTCCTGTGGTGAACTCTCTGGTCTCATGCTCCCTAATTTATGTCTCTGGACCCTCTGACTTGCACATCTAACAATTGAATAAGCATCTCAAAAAGGCACATGCCCAAAACTTGAACTCCTGATTCTTCCCTCGCCCTAACCTGCTTTGTCATCAGTCATCCTCAGCTCAGTAACTGGCAACTCCATCCTTCCTTTAGTTGCTCAGGAAAAGAATTTTAAAGTTATCCTTGACTCATCTGTTTTCTTATACTGAACTTCAAATCAGTCAACAAAGCCTGTCCTTCTGTCTTCAAAATATATGCAGAATCTGATCCCTTCTTACCACCTTCCTGCTACAACGGTGGTTTGTGCTTATACCCCCTCTCCACACACACAGTCTGTTCTCCACACAGCAACCAGAACTATTCTTTCTGAAACAAAAGTCAGATTACTAATTTCCCTGCTCAGAATTTTCCAGTGATTCCCCATTTCACTCAAAGAAAAAGGCAAAATCTTAACAGTAGCCTACAAGGCCTTTATGATCTGACCCTGCTCCTAGCTTGCCCTCTAATTTCATTGCAGGTGAACTCTCTCCCAGGTGGGTTTCTCCCTACACCACAGTGGCCTCCTTGCTAATTCCTTGAACATACTAAACAAGCTCCTGTCTCAGGATCTTTGCTCTTGCTTTTCTGTCTTCTGAAATGCCCTTCCTCAGGGAACTCCATAGGTTTGTTGTCTCACTTTTCTCTCCCCCCATAAAATGAAATCCCACTATCTCCTTTACCCTGCTTTATTTTTCTTGGGATCACTTTTGATCACTGAGAATTTTAAAGGCTTGAAAGTAGCAAATCAGCCCTTTTGGAATAGAAACGGGAGAGAGCTGTCTGAGGGGAGGAAGCAGGGGAACAGGGCTGAGTTTGTGGGCAGAGGAGCCTACCTTCCTTTGAAGCACCAGCAGGCGGCACTACCTCCTTGGTCTGAGAAGGCATCAGCCTCTGGCAGAGAAGCGGACCAAGTTCTGGCTAAGGTAATCCCACCCACTCTTGGAGCTCACTGCTGAACGTAGGGGCTTCCTGAGAGCCCAGCGCAGTTGGGATTCGGACCCTTTGGCGCCTCCAGGTGGCGGCCTACGGTGCTGCAGTAGAAGGCGTGAGAGGAGGAGGGTGGGCAGCACAGCTGAGCTCACCACTGCGGGCGCATCCATCCCTCCTGGGCCTTTAATTTGGGTTCCCCGGGCCTGGCCGCCCCTATCAGCGGCTCAGCAATAGATGACTCACTCGGGACCCCGGGCCAAGGCAAACACAGCGGGAGGAGGAGAAGGAGGTTTCCGAGGCTGCTCTTGGCTTAAGCCACCGCCTCGGTTGCTCGATCCCCCAATCTCCAGAGGCCCCCATTCTCGTTTGACCCCCGCCCTCCAGGGCCCCAGTGTCCTTCCCAGATAGATCCGGCTACACCCTCCATCCCTGTGATGGGAAGGCAGCCTTCCACTCCTCTCATCGAGGAGCAGGGGGATCAGCTCTTTCCCACTCCCTCCCTGAAGTAATGACAGCCCCTCACTTTCCTCTCTAGTCATGGCCCCAACCCTTGTCAAGGTCTCTCTGGTTCCCGCCCCTCCCCTTTCCTGGAGCTGGCCGCGTGCTTGGGATATTAGGCAATGGGTGTGTACCCACAGCCCTCTCCAGGCCCCGCCTGCCCCACCACCCTCAGCGGCCTGCCTGCGGGTCAGTGCTCAGGCCAGCCGGTCGGGCTGAGGGCACTGGGGGCCAGCTCAGGCCACCCAGTCTGCCTGCCTTTGGCCTCCTGTCCCAGAGTTCTACTTCTTCAGGAAAAGGGACCAGCTGTATGGGTTTTTGGATTTGAGACAGGCTAACTTGGGGAGCCCTGGAGTCACTGAGAAGTTGCAATGGATGGTTCTGACCCTGGCCCTTCCTTGGCATCTGATTATACTGCCGCCTGACAAGGACCAAACCAGAAGGTGCTCTCCAAAACCTGAGGGGGACTCAGAGACACATGTCCAAGGGATCCCGTGGGAGAAGAGGGGGCTAGGACACCTCGCTCCCCTCCTTCAGGGACCTGGGTGGATTTGTAGGCTGACGTGCAGGAAGAAGGACGAAGACACTGGCCAGAATCACCAAATCCAGGTGTGAGGATGAGAGCTACTGGGATAGGTCTTGTGGATTCTGATGGCCTCAAAAAGCCACCCTCGGTTTGGTTCTTGTTCCCTAAACAGGAAGGAGAGGCAAGAGCTCCAGGGTACCTTCTCCCGCCACCTCCCTCAGGTGGGAACACAGAGAGAAAAAAAAGCAACCTCCTGTGGTCACAGCTGTCCACTGTCGGGAACCATAGCGCTTATACCTCCCTAGCTTGCTCAGGGCCTGGCACACAAGGGTGATCAATAAATATCCCACCAGACGAAAATCTCTCATCTCTCCAGACTGCTCTGCCTCCTAGACAGCAGTGTCCCCGGCAGCACAGGCCAGGACTCCAGAAGTGCAGGCTGGAGGCTGGCTGCTCAGCAGAGCCAAATGGCCACCACCAAGGAAGAGATGACTGTGGATGTGGGTTTCAGCCCCGTGGCTCTGCTTCCCTGGGGGGCCTGTCTCTGAGTCAGCGTGCCAGCCTTGGGATCGAAGGGCCAGCCGTTCCTTGGGCTGCGGTCTGGCAGGGGCAGGGGGGGGGGGCGGCTGGGAAGCCTGGGGCCCCTCTCTGGCAAAAATAGCCCACAGTGGTTAGAGCTGGGAGGGTGAGTCAGGCAAGAGTGCAGCGGCACCTAACCCCTTCACTGCCACTGGAGCTCCCGAAGGTGGCATGCCTTGACTGTGCACCCCCAGATCAGGCTCTTTCCCTGGCTGCCCTAAGGCTGGGCTAAGATTGGGATCCTCCTCGGGTCCTCCTCGTTTCATGGGAAGCAGGTCTATGAGCCTGGAGCAGGAATACGGGCCACCCAGAGTGCAGACCTGAGATCTGGAGGAGGCGGGAGACCTCTGGACAAGGATGCCTGCAAGATGAGGGGAGCACCGGGCAGGCTGAAGATCTTTGGGGCTACAGGAGCCTCTGCTAGGACCAAATTCGGAGCCCAAAGCTGACCCCTCCAAGGGGCAGGCACAGAGCTCGGAGGTGGGTGGAAGCCCAGCCGCCCAGAGGGAGTTTCTCCCGCCGGCTGGCTCCCAGCGCCCTGCGGTGTGCTCCTGCTGAGGGCTCTTCAGGAAACTGTCCAACAAGAGAAGTTAGCTCTCAGTTCTGTCTTTGTCTTGTCCAAGACACCTTCCAGCCACCCAGGGCTCGGTGGGGGAGACCGAGGCAAAGAAAAATGACCACTTGGAGCCTGGGTCCTGACTCCCTGGTCTGGATGAGCGCACCCTCCTTGCAGCTTTGGCGACTCCAGAGCAGGTGAGCGAGGAACTCTGGCCACCTCCCCCTTCCGTGGGGCCAAGCCTGAGCCCGGGCGTCGGGGGAGAGGGTGTGTGTGTGTGTGAGTGTGTAGGCTGGGAGGAGGGGGAGCGGCTGCGCTCCCCGGGTCAAGGCGGGGGTGCCAGGAGCGGGGTGGGGATGCCCCAGGCTCGGGGAGGGGCCGCAGCTCCGTCAGCCGTGGCAGAGCCGCCCGGGAGCTCCGCGCAGGGAGAGCCAGAGTCCCCAGATCCTCGCTCGCCCTCTCCGCAGGCTTTCTCGATCGCTCCCTCCCTTCCTCCCTCCCTTCTTCCCTCCCGGCGGCCGCGGCGGCGCTGAGAAAGCGGCGGAGAGGAGTGGCCCTGCCCTGGAAGAATGCGGCTCCGCCGAGGGGGCAGAGCCCAGCGCAGTCTCCCCGCGGTCTGAGCGGCCCGCGCCCAGGCGCCCGGACCCCGCCGGGGTGGACCCCGCGCCGGAGCAGCTGGAGGTGACCGGGCCGGCCGGGCGGGGAGGGCAGGGGCGCGCACGCGGGGACCAGACGGGCGCGCGGGGAGTCAGGCACGCATCCTCCCACAAGGGCACGGAGATGCAGAGAGAGAGAGAGAGAGAGAGAGAGAGAGAGAGAGAGAGAGAGAGAGAGAGAGAGAGAGAGAGAGAGAGAGAGAGAGAGAGAGCCAGAGAGATCGCCAGAGATAAAGACCCAGCGAATAAAGGAGTGCCCGCAGATGTGCACGCGATAGCGCAGGGGTGGGGACTGAGGCTGGGACCTGTGAGGACCCGAGGGGCGACGCTCGGAGCAGGAACGAGCAGTTGTGGCGGACGGGGAAGGGGACTCAGCCTGCACCGCGCGGTCCCTTTCGGCCGGAGCAGGTCCCCTCCACGTCCTGGCCGCACCTGGGGTCCCCCTTCCTTCCCCGCCAGCGGAGCCGGCGGCGGGGAGCCCGTTCCCCCACCTTCTCACGGAGCTGCCTGCCCTCGACGGGAACCTGGAGGCCACACGCTCCCCACCCCCACCCCCACCCCCGGCTGTAGGTGGCGGGGAACCCCCTCCCGATCCCGCCTCCCTGCGCTGAGGGCGTGAGGCTGCGCTGGGCGGGAGAGGCGAGTCGTGGGGCCCCTGCAGAGGGAGCGGGAGCGGTGGGCGAGGTGCGGAGCGGTGTCTGTGGGTGCGTACGTCTGGGTTGGAGGGTGTGTGTCTGTGTGCCTGGCCTTGTGTGGCAGAGGGTCCGCTCCTGGGGCGCTCGGCTCAATCCCCGCTTCGAAGCCTCGACTCTCCCCCCCCCCCCCCCCACCCGGGCCCAGAGCCTGGGGACCAAGGGGGTGATTCTTACTGTGCCGTTTGGAGAGAGACGAGAAGGGTCAGTGGGGTGACCCTGGTGAGTTGAGAGCTTGAAGTTGGCATCCTCCGGGGGGTGGGGGTGGGGGGCAGGCGAGCCACCCTCCTCCAGACCCTCCTAGAGCTCCCCTGTCCCGCAGGCCCTGACCGGTCTGCCCACCGGGGCCTTCGGGCCCGGGCTTCGACATGCGGGAGCAGCCCGGGCCGCGGCCTCCGCCCTGGGGCCTCGCGGCTCTCCTGGTCCTGGCGCTGTGCAGTCGGTGAGCAGCCCCCCGTCACCCAGCCCCACCCCCCTCGGCCGGGGAGAAGCAACGGGAGGGCCCGCAGGGGGCGCGAGGCCTGGACCACAGACCCAGCACCGCCTTCTCGGTCCCCAGGGCCCTGAGCAATGAGATCCTGGGCCTGAAGCTGCCGGGCGAGCCGCCGCTGACCGCCAACACCGTGTGCCTGACGCTGTCGGGCCTGAGCAAGCGACAGCTGGGCCTGTGCCTGCGCAGCCCCGACGTGACGGCGTCCGCGCTGCAGGGCCTGCACATCGCCGTGCACGAGTGTCAGCACCAGCTGCGCGACCAGCGCTGGAACTGCTCGGCGCTCGAGGGCGGCGGCCGCCTGCCGCACCACAGCGCCATCCTCAAGCGCGGTGAGCCCGGCGGGGCTGGGGCTAGGCTAGGGGGCAGGCCGAGGCGCGAGGAGGCGGGAAGGGACCGGTTCACGACTCCGGGAGGGGCCTCTCCGGGAATTCCCCCGACAGCCTGGAGGAGCTGGGTTTGGCCACCCGTCTGGGCCCCTGCGCTTCTGACTTCCACCTGCTCGCTGCCGGCAAGGCAGCTGGCCCTGCTCCCCTACTCTATCCCCCCTCCCTTTTCCTGCTTACACCCAGCTGGATCTGGGTTGCACCTGTGAGAGAGATGCCCCCAGCCCTGGAAGCTTCAAACGCCCCCCCCCCATTCCCCCCATTTCACTCTCCTCCCTCGCAGAGGGACAAGCCCAGGCTGGTGTCCCCAGAACCTCAGTGGAGGAGGGGTGCCACCCCCAACCGTTTAAGGGTTAAACCTACTCTCCTAATTGCTGGGGTTCCCAGGAGCTGAGACTGGGAACAAAGACCCTGATGGCTTTGAAGCAGGGGAGCAGCCCCCTCCTCTGCGCTGTGGGGGCCCAGGTGGCTCTCACCTGAGCAGGTGAGGAACTGGCTGGAGGGGTGGAGGACAGGTCACTGCTGGCCTGGTGGAGGCATGGTCTGGGGGAAGCATCACTGCCTCTTGCCAGGCCATGCCTGAGCTCACTCCTGGGAAGAGGAAAGATCCATCCTGGGCTCAGCTTAAGGGTGGGGGCAATACTTCAGGGACTACAGGGTTAATAAGGCAGCTGCCATCTGCAGGGGAATTCCCAAGACGTGTGCTAACAGCTTCACCCCTGGAGGGTTGGGGTTGGGGGGAATCAGGAGGTTGAGCCAGGAGCCCTGCATCTTGAGGTGGGCAAGGCCTGGCCCCGAAGGAGCTGCTGCCTCTCAGCCTCCCCGGGCTCCCGGAGCCCCTCCCTAAAAGGAAGGGCTTCACGGGGCACGTTGTAGGGGGAAGGCTTTGATGCCCAGATGAGAAGCATATCTACCTGAGGCTGGGAAAAGCTTGTCATGCTGAGCCTCTGTGACCCCAAAAACAAAACAAAGGAGCCAACATTTTAAGAGGGCCTTAGGGAAAATCACCCCACCTCTCTCCCCTTCCCAGCATTTTATATAGAGTAATAGCAGGTTAGGATAAACTTCAAGAGCAGCCTAAGGACAAATATAAAAGTAGAAACTGGAAAGGTGAAGGACAGCTCCACAGCTACAGTGGAGGTTTGGGGGTGGTGGAGGTTAGATTGGTTAAAATGCTGATTAAAATAACCCTGATGAAGAAGAAGAAGAAGCCAGGACCGGTTTGGCTCAGTGGATAGAGCGTCGGCCTGCAGACTAAAGGGTCCTGGGTTCGATTCTGGTCAAGGGCATGTATCTTGGTTGCGGGCACATCCCCGGTAGGGGGTGTGCAGGAGGCAGCTGATCGATGATTCTCTCTCATGGATGTTTCTAACTCTCTATCCCTCTCTCTTCCTCTCTGTGAAAAATCAATAAAATATATTTAAAAAAAAAAAGAGAGAGAAAGAAATCCTATTGCCTCTGCTTCCACCCCACCCAAGCTCCCTGCAGGGCTGGGGAATTTCTAAGGCTTTCAGATGTAGAACTCAGTGAATACATCTTCAAAGACCACAGGGACTCCCTTTTAGTCCTCTCCCAACCCCAGGGTCTTTCCCTCTAGGCTAGCTCTTTCATCCGCACCTGAAAATCCCAGACTGACAGAGCAAGAACGGGCCTCAGAGACCATCTCAACCCATCAGCCCCTCAATGTATAGATAAGGAAACTGAGGCTCTGCACTTTCAATTCCCCTTTTTCTTCCACGACTTTCTCCCAAAGTACTTAGCTAGTAATAGCAGGGTCAGGATTGAGTTAGGAATTTCTGGAATTGGAGGATGGCTGTTTATTTCCCTCTGCCTCCCTGCGCTCAGCGCTCAGCGGCCTGTCAACCTCACCCTCACCATCGCACCCTTTCATCCCCAGGTTTCCGTGAGAGTGCCTTTTCCTTCTCCATGCTGGCTGCTGGCGTCATGCATGCGGTGGCCACAGCCTGCAGCCTGGGCAAGCTGGTGAGCTGCGGCTGTGGCTGGAAGGGTAGTGGTGAGCAGGACCGGCTGAGGGCCAAACTGCTGCAGTTGCAGGCCCTGTCCCGGGGCAAAAGCTTCCCCCACTCCCTGCCTAGCCCGGGTCCTGGCTCAAGCCCCAGCCCCAGCCCTCAGGACACATGGGAATGGGGTGGCTGTAACCATGACATGGACTTTGGAGAGAAGTTCTCTCGGGATTTCTTGGATTCCAGGGAAGCTCCCCGGGACATCCAGGCACGAATGCGAATCCACAACAACAGGGTGGGGCGACAGGTACGTGTGCAAATCGTCCTGAGTCTCTCTAGCTTTCTGGCCTGGCTCCAGTTTGAGGCACAGCAGAGGAAGAGGATGGGATATGATGGGTGATTGTCACCATCTGCTAGCCCTGAGCAAGTGATTTGACCTCAGTTTTGGATGCTTAAAAAATAGTCTAAGGGTACCTACCTTACAGTGTCATTAAGAGAGAGCTAGTAAACAGAGCTCCCAGCAGAGTCCCTCGTCCTTGACAGGTGCTTATTACATGATAGCTATTATTACAGCTTTCTTCCTAATGGAAGTTAGGAGTGCTCTGGGCCCAAACTCCCCATTTTAGCAGCACTCACTCTGGAAAGAACAACTGGAGTTATCCAGCTGGGGTCTGAAGATAGGCAAATCCGATAGGCAAATCCCTCTGCTCTGGCTTCAGTTCTCCAACTATAAAATGAGGCAGTTGGGCTATCCACCAGCTTCTTCCTCCCACCCCCCCCCTGATATTCCACAATCATTTGTTCATTCTTGCCTCTATTTGTCCCTCCTTTTGCCTCCCTGATCCCTCCCCTCTTCTGTGTCTCTGTGCTCTCTCCACTTATTGCCCTTTCCTTCACCTCTTCCCCCTCTGATACTCCAGGTGGTAACTGAAAACCTAAAGCGGAAATGCAAGTGTCACGGCACTTCAGGCAGCTGCCAGTTCAAGACCTGCTGGAGGGCGGCCCCAGAGTTCCGGGCAGTGGGGGCAGCATTAAAGGAGCGACTGGGCAGGGCCATCTTCATTGATACCCACAACCGCAACTCCGGAGCCTTCCAGCCCCGCCTGCGTCCCCGCCGCCTCTCGGGAGAGCTGGTTTACTTTGAGAAGTCCCCTGATTTCTGTGAGCGAGACCCCAGCGTGGGCTCCCCGGGCACACGGGGCCGGGCCTGCAACAAGACCAGCCGCCTGCTGGATGGCTGCGGCAGCCTGTGCTGTGGCCGTGGGCACAACGTGCTCCGGCAGATGAGAGTGGAGCGCTGTCATTGCCGTTTCCACTGGTGCTGCTATGTGCTGTGTGATGAGTGCAAGGTCACAGAGTGGGTCAACGTCTGTAAGTGAGGGTGGGCCTCACAGCAGGCTGGGGAAGCGGAGGGCGCCTTTTCAGCCTTTTGCTCTCATTTCTGTCCAAGGTCAATCTTAGCCCCTGGAAGTTCAAAGTATCTACCTGGAAACACCTTTGGGGGGGGGGGGGAGTCAGGTGGAATCTGTCATGTATGGCCTTCTCCCCCACAGTTAAAGGGCCTTGTGGGGGAGGGGGGAAGATGTCACCCCTCTTCTACTCCTTGAACACCTGGATGGGCTAAGATGAATTGCACTGTATTGCCCCTGCCATCTCCCCAACGCTGGGCCTTTAACTCTGATTCATACTCCTTTCAACGGGGGAGTCCCTGTGGTTTGACCACTCTTCTCCTTTGAGGGCTAGCCCCAGGCGTTGTGTAGAGCAGTGAGACCTACATCCAGAAAGAAACCACTCACTCTCTTTGCTGTTCAGGAACTCCTCCACTGCAGCCTGAGCCCGCTCTGGTGGGTAATGGGAGACAGTGGTAGAGGGGGTTTTCTTAGGATGGAACAGAGTGTGAGGGGGGAGTGCTCTCCCCTTAGGGTGATCGGTCCAGGCCCTAGGGAAGTGGTCTGGCCCCTCCCCCCACTCAGATGTTAAAGGGGACCCTCCAGAGAAGAGTTTTACCTACAACTTTCTGAGCCTCTCTTTCTTTCTTTAGCAGGAGGGGTGGGGATGGATAATTTATTGTACTGAGATTTGTTCTTGGTTCCTGTTTATAACTAAAATAAATTAAGTTACTGAACTGGTGGGTGCAGATGGTGATATTTCTGACGACACTTGGGATCCCAGTCCATGGCTTCTTTTCCAGGTGAATTCTCCTACCCTACTACACTCAGTGACTTTATGTGTAGCCTGCTGGTCCCACAGAGGATTTGAAATGGGCCTCAGTGACTTAGTTGGCAACTCTTAGTGTGAAAAACTAGGGGACTTGTAGGTGTGAGGGGCTAGAGATCCGAATACAGGCTTTATTTACTCTCTATGTGCCTCAACTCCAGGGATTGCCTCAATCACTGCCCTAGAACAATCACTGCCCCCCCAAAAAAAACACAACAACAGGTTTTGATAGTAAATATATTAGGTTTGTGGGTTTGTCACAACTATTCAACCCTGCAATAATTACTCAACTCTGCTGTTGTAGATGAAAAGCAGCCATAGACCATACATGAACAAAAAGATGTCCAATACAATTTAGTTCACACAGACTGCAGGACCAGATTTGGTCCTCTGGCTGTAGTTTGTTGACCCCCGCCCCACACTTTGAGGTCACCTCTGTGTTGGGGTTTTCTTTTTTTATATATAAATATATTTTTATTGATTTCAGAGAGATGGAAAGAAACATCAATGATGAGAAAAAATCATTGATTGGCTGCCTCTTGCATGGCCCACATCATCGAGCCCGCAACCCAATAGCATGTACCCTTTGCCCGAAATCAAGCCTGAGACCCTTTCAACTGCAGGCTGATGCTTTATCCAATGAGCCAAACCAGCTAGGGCATGTTTTGGGGTTTTCAAGTGCTGAAGGTATCTCATCGTTGAACCTGCACCCAAAAGAGCAGGTGCTTTTCTCTCTGGCTCCAAATCAGAGAACTTGGGAGGAAGATACAATACTAATGGGAAACATATAAAAGGGATTCCTGTGCTCAGAAGGGAAATATTTTTGCTCTGGAAACCAGCAAAACCAGCATGCCCTCCTACTGAATTATTTGCATATGTATTTTGTCCTTCCTTATTCAGAGCTCTTCTGCATTTAATTTTAATCTTAGTAAAATAATTCCTTTATCTTTTAGAAGAAACCATAACTAGAGAAAAGAGAATGTCTTTTATTCCAGTCCTTCTATTCCTAGCCTGATATTTTTTAAAACAAACCATTATCTTTCATTGGAAAAAGGACATGCCTCACACATTCAGAACTTTACAAGTAACTGCTTATGGAGTTGCAAGAAGCTTACTGTAACAGGTCATCTCCTTGGTCAAGGAATGTATGACTAGAATGCAGAGTACATTCTACATTCTAGGCCAATAATTTCAATTGGTGTGCCACAATAATTTTTTAAAAAAATATATATTTTATTGATTTTTTACAGAGAGGAAGGGAGAGAGAGAGAGAGCTAGAAATATCGAGAGAGAAACATCGATCAACTGCCTCCTACACACCCCCACTGGGGATGTGTCCGCAACCAAGGCACATGCCCTTGATTAAACCTGAGACCTTCCAGTCCGAAGGCTGACGCTCTATCCACTGAGCCAAACTGGTTTTAGCCACAATAATTTTTAAAATTGATTTTTTTAAGAGAGAGAGGATGGGGGTGGGGGTGGGGTGGGGAGGGAGGGAGATAGATCAGTTGCCTCCCATACACGCCCAGACTGGGTATGGAACCTGCAACCTAGGTATGTGCCCTTAATGGGAATTGAATCCAAGGCCTTTGGTGTAAGGGATTCGATGATGTTCCAATCAACTGAGCTATCTGGCCAGAGGCTCAAGAATTTTTTAAACATGCAAAAATGCAATACTTGACTATTTAGTCAGGGGCACTGATCTCTTTTTCCTTAAATTGTCAAAACACACACACACACACACACAAAACTACAACAACTAACACAATAACTGTCCAGGATGAATGAATCAAAATTCTACCTATTTTTTTGTCAGATGGGCAAAGAATATATTTTTTGGTGTGCCACAGAATTTTAGTAATTAGTTTATGTGTGCAATGAAATGAAAAAGGCAGAAAAATCTATTGCTCTAGGGCTAGGCAATAGATATATCTGCTGCCCAAATTATTCTCAAAGTCAGGTGAAATGATGGTAACACCAGGGTAGTAAGACCATTTTGAGGAGTGTTGGGTTAGGGCAGTACCTTAGGGCAAAATTTTATGTCCTAAATTTCCACTTGAGCATTGAGAATTCTAGGTTTCAAAATTTGATGGAGGCAGGAAGATATCTCATCCTTACTTAGGCACTGACTATATCTGGTGAGCATATGGGGATAGTGGGATGTTGCTAGAATGGACATAGACTATGAGAGAAAATAATGATAAGGAATATCCAGATGGGAATTTTGCACTCAGTAAGAGCAAGAAGAATCTCCAATGGAGTCACAGCAGGAATATTTTAGCTTTTTCTGGTTTTCTTCCTCTGTACTCCTTTAGACTCCTTCTCCCTTTCTAGCTCTCATCTTTCATCACACATACTCTGTGGCAAACTTAAGCCCCAAACCACAACCTTGAGAAATTCCAAATGGATTTTGTCAGCAAGGCCAACACCGCCCCTCCTGCCTTCCACACCCCTGCTCCAGGCACACGAGCTGGGCTCAGGCCCAGGCCTGGGGTCGGTGGCAGGAGTGGGAGTATGCAACCCACAGAGCGGGTGGCTACAATTTCAGCTTTTACTTAGCTCCCGTGGAAGTCAGAGGGAGGGAGAAAGACTGATGAACTGTAAGCCAGGTCTCTGCCTCCTTCAGCTCTAGATGAGCTCTTCTCCCTTAGCCTTTCAAGTGGTTGGGAAGCTGGAGAGTAGCAGTGATTGACTAACTGCCAGCTGGGCAACACCCCTCCTATCTTTGCATTTGTTTGCTCCATGGGAAGCACCCAGTGATGCTGCAAAGGACATTTTCTTCTCAAGACTCCAAAGGAGTGAAGGACAGAAGAAATGGGAGATTCTCTAGTCCCATTAATCAGTTCTGACTCAAATACCTTGCTGCTTACCATATTAGGTCACACCCTTTCCATCCTTCTGTCACACCTGAGAGAATCTGAAGTCTTGGGCAGTAACACTGATAGGTTCCATCTCCTATAAGAAAGCCACAAGTCATGTTAGTGTCATTGGGTACTAGAGAAAGGTTTTTTGTTTTGTTTTGTTTTTTGTTTTTAATATATTTTATTGATTTTTTACAGAGAGGAAGGGAGAGGGATAGAGAGTCAGAAACAAACCGAAGGACTTGTATACATGCAATAAGTACAACCAATGGACACAAAACTCTGGGGAGGAAAGGTATGAATGGGAGGGGGGGAATGGTAAGATATGTACATAGATAATAATTTAATAATTATAATTAAAAAAAGAAAGTTAGAAACATCGATGATGAGAGAGAAACATCGATTAGCTGCCTCCTGCACCCCCCCCACTGGGGATGTGCCCGCAACTAAGGTACATGCCTTTGACCAAAATCGAACTTGGGACTTTCCAGTCTGCAGGCCGACGCTCTATCCACTGAGCCAAACTGTTTCGGCGAGAAAGGGTTTTTAATGTATATTTTTTGTGATCAGCGTGGGGGGCATAACCTGGTGGGGTGTTTCTAGAAAATTCTAGGAAAAGAAATGGAAAAGATAATTATGTGGATGTATCACAGGGTCCACTTTCGGAATCCGTAATAACACTGGAGGAGTCTTCTGCCACTTAAAATATAAAACTTAGCCGGGTAAAAGCCCTGACGGGCAACAGCTCAGGACAGATACAACTCTCTTTGCTATAAACATGCTCCTTGTTAGCCATCTCATCCCTCACCATCTTGTCTTCACATTCTAAGGGCATGTTTTTCTCTAGGTTAAAATATGGAAGAAAACAGACTGGGATAAGAGGAAGAGACTGGTGAATGCATGCACCAGGGATTGATGGGGTAAGAGGTAGACATAGTGTGGCTGTCTACCAGCCTACTCCTTGGCAGGATTCAAGAAACAAGGCCCAAAATACAGAAAAGCAAGTTTTGGCTCAGGGCTTAGGGAAGAGCCATGTGTTCTCTTATATTGCTGTAAATGTAGAGCGAGGGCACTTAGAGAACCTTCTTCTATTCTTAGCATTTTTAGCGCCTTTCTTTGATGACAGTCTTGAGAGTTCCAACACAACTTTGCAGGTCTAGACCAGGTGCAGAAATGAGTGTGAGGGAAGAGGGGATGGGCAGGAAGAGAGGAACATGGAAGCAGAGTCTCTCACTTTCCTTGGGGTACTAAAATTCATAATCACCTAGATACACTTCCTCAAATCACATCTCAGCCTTCAATATTCCAACTTCCTTGTAGCCCCAGAGTTCAGATGTTTCCTTCAGTCTCTTAAATTCATCACTCTCCCTTCTCTTCCCTATGGGAAAAGACATCTTGATTCAGACCCCTGGATAACCTAGTGGTGAGCAGTAACAACGGTGTAGGAGAGCTCTCAGGGGGATGCTACTAGCCCTGGTTAATAAAGATGAGGTCTGGAGGAGTTAGGCGGCCACAGCTAGGCCTGTTCACTCATACCCTGCTCCTGGCTTTGCCCAAGGTGCCCCAGGCTCTCAGCTCAACCCGGCTCCAGGGCGGCCAGCACGAGGCCCCAGTCCTTAAACTTCAGGTATGGCCCTGGAGCTGTGTATTGTCCTCACAGTCCTCACTGCTTCACCTTCCTCCCCTGGCTCCTGCTTCCACTGCCCACAGCCTCCAGCCCCCACATCGCCCCCGCCCGGGCTTCGTCTCTTAACACCCGGATGCCTCCGCAGCAGCCGCTGCCATGGTGATGACTCTCGCGAGAACTGCCGCTCGCTGCCGCCACGCAGTTCTCGCGCGATCGGGGAGGTGGGAAGTATCCCGGTCTGGGGGTGTGGGTGCGCCGCACAGCCCTTGTCGCTGTCGCGGCTTCCGGTGCCAGGTAGAGGGAAGGAAGGAGGGAACCCGGGAGCGGGGCCAGGGCAGCGGCGGCGTTGAAATCGGCTGGGGGAGCCGGAGGGAGCCGAGCGAGATCCGAGCGGAACCTGCGGGGGCGGAGGCGGCGG